TTTTTTTAATGTTTATTTTTGAGAGAGAGAGAGAGCGCGCGTGCAAGGGAGGGTCAGGAGAGAGGGAAACACAGAATCCATAGCAGGTTCCAGGCTCGAGATGTCAGCACAGAGCCTGATGCGGGGCTCAAACTCGTGAACCATGAGATCATGACCTGAGCCAAAGTCAGATGCTTAACCCCTGAGCCACCCAGCTGCTCCGTGCTTTAAACATTGGATGTCTCCTCAGTAAGGCACTGCAGTGGGAGCTCTGGGGCATTCAGACTTGTGAGAAATGGAGCTTATCATCCATCAGTCATCTGAGGCATAGAACAAGGGGGAAATTAGTCAGTGCCATATGAGAGGATGCATGAAGCGCTTTGGAAATTTGGAGGTGGGGAGACCCAGATCTAAGACTGCCTCGTTAGGCTACATCAGGCTGTACTGCACCTTGGTGGTAGTTAACACCAATTGTCTTCCGCATGCCATGGTTTAATCTTGTATGTTTGTGGCAGGACGTTTGAGAGGAGGAAAACTGAAAGGGCATTTCATCTCCCTTTTATTACCTTTGTTTTTCAGGTAACGCCATATTCTCTTTGTCAATTCAGCAAGCATCAGTTTGAGGATCCATTGTGGTTGTGATAGGAATTCTCAGTGTGTGTCAGTTGCCTGTGGTGCATTTCCAGCCCTTAAGAAGTTTTCAGTCTTGGTAGAATTTAGCTTTGGATCCAAGAAACAAAACCTGAAAGTATACAAATGTGTAGTGGTGAACCCATGAGCAACATTACTGGAGGTAGGGTTCATTTGGGAGCCACCGGTATACATTTTAGGACATGACTTTCTTTTTTTAAATTTAATTTTATTTTAGAGAGAGAGGGTACAAGTGGGTGAGAGGGGCAGAGAGAGAGAGAGAGAGAGAGAGAGAGAGAGAGAATCTTAAGCAGCTCCATGCTCATGAGATCATGACCTCAGCTGAAATCCAGAGTCAGATGCTCCACCAAGTGAGTCACTGAGGCCCCCCTAGGATATAACTTTCATAATACTAATTTTAATATTTGATTGCCATCCAACAAACCTGCCCCATGAAATAGTCCCTGACAACTCCAGCTAGCATGTATGGTTTCTAAGTGTTGGTAGAACATTTAAGAAACAGAAAGCGTTTCACTAAGGGAGTGGTATCACTAAGGGAGGCTTCATGGAAGTGACTTGTGTGAGAATAATGAGTACTTTAATTGCTAATGTTTATTGGGTAATACCACGCACCAGGTTTTATTCTGAGCATTTTACCTGAATTATCTCGGTTCATCACTGCTGCACTCAGCTAAGCATTATTCCTGCCTTACATATGAAGAAACTGAGGCATTGCATCCTTTAAGTACCTTATCCGAGGTCTCCAGCTCTAAGGGGTACAGTTGGGATTTGAACCCAGGCTGAATGCGTTCTTAGTGATTGGCTGTGTAGGTTGACAGGAGGGAAGAGAACAAGGACGAGGCACGTGTAGAAGGACAGAGGTGAGACATGGGGAGGTAAAATGACCTTGCGGGAATTTTATTGCCAAAGTTAGGCATTTGACCGTGGTCTGATGGCCAGTTGGAAGCTATTATCAATTCTTGAGTAAGAGTATGTCCTTGTCAAAACAGATGGATATTTAGGGAGGTGAGCCCAGCAGTCCTGTGTATGTACAGTGTGATTTGGGGTCATTGCAGAGGGAGGGACGCAGGAAGGGAGAGAGCGAGAGGGAGATGGGGCTGCCCGGACACCTCACACTGGCTCTTGTAAATGTTTCTATGCCTGTCTCCTGAATGTACTTCTTTAAAAATGGTTTGGCTGGGCTTTCTGCATAAGGAATGAGGTCCCTGTGGGCGAAACCAATCCTTTTCCATCTTTAGGGCTTCA